GTGCCGCCACCCTCAACAGCTTCCTATGTGTCTGGGCTTTTGCTGGGGAGTTGTTAAAGGTCAATCCACCTCAGCCGTTTAGTAGGCTGTGACCCATTTCTTCATCTGTAAAAAGTGGGGTTTCTTTGTGATGCCTTCTAATGCCACTTTCAGCTGAATCTATAGCCCTACGAGGGACCTGACTTATGACACAGAGCCCTTCATCAACTTGCTTCCAGTCCTGGGTGGACTACAGTTACCAGAATGAAAACAAGCATGGCGCCGCATGCCTTTATTGGACTACAACTCCCAGCATGCCGACGGGCGGCTTCTGGGAGGAAAGCGAGCGCGAGGGCTGGAATGAAGGGGCTCTACGCATGTGCATCTCTCCGGTCCCGCCCTTTCCCCCCTCTTTCTCCCCTCCCTTTTGCCTCCCCTTCCTCCTCCCCCCCTTCCCCCCCCCCCCCCCCCCCCGCCCCGGGACGTCTGACCTCTGTCCATGGAGCCGGACTCTTTCTTTCCGGTGCTGGGCGGCGAGTTCGAGGACTCGGTGTTTGAAGAGTGGCCTCGGCCGCGGGAGCTCGAGCCTCTGCCGGCCTACAGCGCCAAGCGCTGCGAGCCCCAGGTGAGAGACGCGGTGCCCGCGAGCCTCTGCCCCGTCCCGGGACATCGCCCACGGGCCAGTCCGGCCAGAAACCAGCACTTAGGGAGCGCCTGCTGTATGCCTGGCGCGGGGGTGGGTGGGGACGGGGTCTGGAGAAGACGGAGATACAGGATGTGTAAGCGCAATTAAAGTCAAGTGATTTAAGAGTGTTCAGGAAGACCCCCTCGAAGGATGCCAGGGGTTCCAAGAGGTGGAGTCGGAGAGGAAGCGCAAAAGTGTGGGGACAGCCTGTACAAAGGCGTGGAGGCGGGAGATGAAACGCCCCCCCCATGAGGCCATTTTGATTGGATAGGAAAAGTATGTGAGAGAGTGCCATTATCCTGGAAAGATGAAAAGGAGCTGGATCCCAAAAAGACTTTCAAATGCTCAACAGAGGAGTGTGTGTTTTATCCTAAAGGCAATAGAGAGCTAAGCATGATTTAAGTGCTCCCTGTGTTCAGAGCACTGTCCTAAGTGCAGGGAGTTCTGCTATAGTGGGATTTATGCATTCCCCCAATCACTGCCCTATGCAAAATTGTGCAATAAAAGCCACAGAGCTTTTGGGGTTGGGGTACAAAGTCGATGACATGAAAAGATAGAAACCTAATTTTAAAAACTGCTAGCACGGTTTTATCCATGTGCTAGTTGGGAAGGTTGAAACTCTGGGCCAGAGGAGGGAGGTTGTTAGGACCAGCCCTTATTTGCTCAGACCTCCTACTGCCTCAAAGATACACAGTAAACAGGGCCCTTTACCCAACAAAGACCTAAAGGTTTGCTTGTGGAAGTGGGGGCAGGAAGGCTTGCAGCTTGTGAGTTATTGTGAAGCTGTTCAGTTTTCTGCATTCTCCACATTCCTTGTAGGAGAAATGGAGCAGATGCAGACTTGAAACTTGGTTTATGTTTAGAATTTTCCCTGATATTTCAAACGAGTTGTAACAAAGTCATGTTTTCAAAATATCATGCATGGTAACAGAAATGACTGTACCAGCAAAAATAAAGATAGTCCCAGCTCTTAATGATCTGACATTTTAATGGGGAAAGGCCAGCAGGTAACAGGGATCTGAAAAGGGGTGTGGGGATAAGGAGAGCTACTGAAGCCTCTTGAATGAGAAGTGATATGGTCAGAAATGAGCTTTAGGAATATCAGTTTTGTTGCTGTGTGGAGGATGGGTTGGAGAAGGAAGAAGTTGGCTACAGGGGCCAGTCGTGGGTTGTTGCAGCAAGCCAGGTGAGAACTGAGGAGTGCTTGGACCAGGCTGGTTGGTGTGTGTGTAGAGAGAAGGAAATGGGTGTGAGAGAGATGCTATGTTGAGCAGGTAGAATAAAATTGACATGGGCCACATGGGGCCTTGAGGCCACAGGTTCCCCACCCCTGGACCTAGTACCTGAGTGATTATAGGGAAAAAGTCCATGATGATGCCCATGTTTCAAGCTTGGGCAACTAGAAGAATGGTTGTGCCCTGGTGGGAAGTAGTCAGTCAATAAGCATTTATTAAGTGCCAGGCACTGTACTAAGTATACAGAAAGAAGCAAAAGACAGTCCCTGCCCTCAAGGAGCTCACAGTCTAATGGGGGAAACAACAAGCAAACAAATATGTGCAAACAGTATAAATAGGAAATAATTAAAAGAAGGAAGACACTGAAATTAAGAGGGCCTAGAAAAGACTCGTTGTAGAAGATGGGATTTTAGCTGGGACTTGGAGGAAGCCAAAAGAAGCCTGGAGGCAGAGATAAGGAGGGAGAGTTTTCCAGGGAAGGGGGACAGCCAGACAAAATGCCCAGAGCCAAGAGAGGCCAGTAGGGTGCTACTGGAGGTTATTGGCTCTGTGTGTGTGTGTGTGTGTGTGTGTGTGTGTAACACCTTGTGGCTGAATGGAGGATGTATTGCAGCGGCCAGGCCGACCCACCAGCAGTAATCCGGGCGTAAGGTGATGAGGGCCTGCACCATGGTGGTGGCAGTGTCAGAGGAGAGAAGAGGGCTTGATGTGTAGATTTGGGATTAATCTGCAAAAAGCTGATCTTTGAACCCGTAGGAACTGCTGAGTTCACCAAAGGAGAACGTGGAGAGAAGGAGGAAGACCACACCACTTGTAAAGTGAAGGAGACTGAGAATGATCAGTCAGACAAGGAGAAGCAGGCAAGGCAGTGTCTCAAAGAGCCAGGGAGGCTGGAGATTAGCCTGTCCTGAAGGCAGGGTTTATCAGCAGTGTCAGAAGCTGCACCGATGTTCCGGAGGAGAACACAGGAAAGGTCTATGGGTTTCGCAATAAAAAGATGAGTGATGACTTCGGAGACAACAGCGTCAGGCCAAGTGCTGGGGTTCAGACGTGAGTGGGAGGTGAGGAAGTGGTAGTGAAAGTGTAGATAGCTTTTTCTAGGAGTTTTGTTGTTTAACAGGGAACACAAAAGCCAGGTACCTTGACAAGATGAAGGGGTCAAATGAGAGTTGTTTTTTTGCTTTTGTTGTTGTTGTTTTTTTAAAGAGTTAAGGAGGGGCAGCTAGGTGGAACAGTGGATAGTGTACCAGCCCTGGAGTCAGGAGGACCTGAGTGCACATCCGGCCTCAGACACATAATACTTACTAGCTGTGTGACCCTTGGCAAGTCACTTAACCCCATTGCCTAGCCAAAAAAAAAAAAAAAAAAGAATTAAGGAGATTAACCAGGTAGGAATTCCTGAAGGGAGGATATTCCCCCAAGCTTCTCCCCATATTCAGCCCCCCAAGTGGCCCCCAAGCCCTCCCTTCAGCAAAACTCCCCACATATCCCATAAATATTGTAGGATTGTTGAATTTAAAGCTGGAAGAGATCTTAGAGATCATCATAGAAGCCAGTGGTTCTCTTAAGTGTGGTCTGGGGGCTCTCACATCCCTAGGACCTTGCTAGGGGGTCCTCAAGGTCAAAACTATTTTCATAATAATACTAAGACATTTTAATTTCTACAGTAAATATTGATGGCTATAACCCATGTAAACAAAAGCTTTTTGGAGGGGTCCTCAATTTTTAAGAGTTAAAGGGGTCTTGAGAACCACTGATCCAGGCTACTCTTTTATTTTACAGATGAGGAAATTGAGGCCCAGTAAAGGGGTTTTCCCAAGGTACACAAAACTAGGATCGCAGCCCAAGTGTTTGAACTTAAAATCCAGTTTTCTTGTCTGTGTGTGTGTGTGTTTGAGAGAGAGAGAGAGAGAGAGAGAGAGAGAGAGTGAGTGAGTTAAGAGTTTAGGTGAGTCTTCATAGTTCTGTAGACTTCAAATTGGAAGGGAAAACAGAATTCTATTCACACACAAGCTGTTTATTTTAGAAGTTTGTATTTATTCTAGAATTAGAAGTTAGACTGGATATTTAAGGATAATTACTATTTGAGGGCAAACACAAAAACTAAAGAAATTATGTAAAATTCATTTTCTTTTTTCTTGGCTATAAGGTATACTACACAATTTCTTTTTCCCTTAGAGTGTGAAAGTTACAAGAACCTGAGAAAGCCCGTGTTACAAAAGATTATTTGTTATTTAGAAATGTTCTATAGAATTCACGGAATATCCAAGTTAATAAAGCTAGGTTTGATTTTTCTGTGAGCAATCTAGGAAAAGGAAATATATTTATTATACAGAAATTCTTTGTAATAGTATTTTTCTACTTCTATTTATTCATGATTTCTTTTAATGTTTTTATTTTTTACATGCATCTCTTTTCTTTCACTCTTCCCTCAACTTTGAACTATTAAAAAAAAAAACCCTTCATTAACATATGCATAGTCCAGCAAGACAGAATTCTCACATTGACCGTGTCCAAAAATGTGTGTCTTATGGTACATTTTATGTGTCACCTCTTTTGCAGAAGGTGAGTAAGCAGACTTTGGTTCTCTGGAATTGTAATTTGTCATGCATTGATCAGAGTTGCAGAGTCTTTCAGAGTTGTTTTTCTTTATAATATTGTTATCATTGTATGATATGAATATAACATAAATAATTCCATTAAACTAATATAAATTGAATGAAATATAATATAAATGGAATGGAATTCATTCCATCCCATTCATATACCATAATCTGTTTAGCAGTTCTCCAGTAGGTAGGTATCCCTTTAGTTTCCAGTTTGGGAGCTACATGGACTCAACTGAATTGATCATTTCTGCTTGTGGAAATCACCTGGGGAATAAGTAGCCCTCTGCCTGTTAAGTCAGAAGAGCCAGCTTTAGGATCTCCACAGCTTTAGGATCCAGGAGATATGAAAGTGGAGCAAGGTTGCGTTTCAGTTAAAGGGAATATCCTGAGGTTTGAGTGAATTTTGGCTCAGTAGAAACAAATAACATGTTTCAAACCTGCATTTATCAGATTTTTCCAGCCCAGGAGCTTTTGTTAACTGAAGTTTTGTTGACTGAAGTTAAAAACAGTTCCATTCTGATTCTTGTCTCTCTCCTTCCTTCAGGCCCCTGTTGTTGTTGCTCAGTCATTAAGTTGGGTCCAACTCTCCCTGACCTTGTGGTCCATACTGTCCATGGGCCTTTTTTGGCAAGAACACTGGAGTGGTTTTTTCTTTCTTTCTTCAGTGGATCAAGGCAAACAGAGGTTAAGTGACTTGTCCAGGATCACACAGCTGGTAAACATCTGAGGCTGGATTTGAACTCGGATCTTTTTGACTCTAGGCTCAGCACTGTATGCGTCATGGTGCCACCTAGCACCTCTGTGTAGACAGCTATTTATTTTGTATCAGTGGTAGCCATATAGTAGTGGGTAGAAAGTCATGGAGTTGTGAAGACCTGGGTTCAAGTCCCACCTCTGCCACACATTGGTCACGTGACCTTGGGCAAGCTGCTTGGCTCTTCAGGCACGCCCCCCCCTCCCCCCCGGCAGCTCTCAAAGACTTTGTATCAATGCTGATCTACACTGATAGAAAATTTTCTCACTGGAAGTTCCCTATGCCAGTCTCAAATCCAATCCAAAACATCCAAATCAAATCCTTCTTGTATTGTTCTCTTCTGCCTCCTTCCCTCAAATTCCTGCCAAAACTGCTCCTTCCCTCTTCATCCACTTGAAAACCACAGGCTGTCCCTTCACTGAAAATGCTACAGGCTCAAAGACTTGGTACCTGGTGAGCATCTAGTTTTGTATTCAGTTCCTTTAGCTTAATGGCTACCAATATATTTATATGCTTGGTTGTCTTTGACATCAAATAAAAGCATTGCAGTAAAGTTATTACTCTGCCTAATGTTTTCTTGTGAATCTTATTCTGAAAAACTCTATTCTTTTTAGTTTTATAAGTTATATTTTCTTTCAAGTGGTTGGTTTTACTCTGTAATGTGAAATTTTTGTTTTCTAGTGGTTTTATGAGGAAACAGAAAACAAGGATGAAGTTGAAATACTCACCATCAAGAAATTTAGGGGGGACTTGGCATACCGGCAACAAGAATTTCAGGTATATATCTCTTTGCGGGTGAAAATCATATTACTTTATGGGGAACAACATGTTCAGGAAATTTAACAGGCTTATATGTTTAAAATGTGTGAGATTGGGATGTGCAGAAGCAAATTTCACCTTTTATAAAGTGTTTTTGCCTGTTGGTGTCTGTTCTTAGAATCCCAAAATTCTTTCCTTTTTGGGTATTTCTAGTGGTCTTAGTCTTCTGCAACCCACTGCAGGTATAATCGGTTCTTCTCATTACTGCATGACTGTGTCTTCCCCAGTGTCTGTCTGTATCTCACAAATGCAGGCTTGTCTTCAACGCAGATGGATATGTCCTAGTGGTAAAGTACAGTCAAAAGATATAGAAGCACCTCTTCCCTATGCTAACAAGGTGTTTTTTCCAACCCTTCCTCCAATAACCATTAGAGCTGACATCCTGTGTGTTTTAAACCTTGGACTCTAGTATCTTTTAAATTGGGGTGGGAGAAAGGGAGGGAGAGAGTGTCACATAAAAATGATACTTTCCACTTTGCTTCCTGCACCCTCACCCCAGCCACAAAACCCCAATGACATACAAACCAACCAACCTTTTACTAGGTTCTTTTCTACAATGCCTTTTTTTTTAATTTTAAACAAATACCTCCATAGAAAGCACTTCAAGAGTACTCCAGCTGCTTTGAACTATTGCCATCTACCAACTTTGCCATGAGAAGAGACATCCAAGAAGGACAGGCTCGATGTTTAACTCACCTAGGAAGGCATATGGAAGCATTGGAGATTGCTGAGAAGTTGGTGAGTACTGTGTGCGGTCACTTTCATGCCTTTCCCAAGTCCTATTCTCCAGAATTGATGAGTTGGTTTCCTGAAAATGCCTCTTACTAGTGAAATGTGTGGGTTTGGGACTGTAGAACTTTATGTTGAAGTTTGAGCCCAAAATACCATAGTTTCCGCATAACATTTTTTTTTTCTGAATAACGTTAAAAATCTTCCGTTCTCTGAAAACCTTACCTTTGCAGAACTACTTCCCTCATTAGAGGCAAACACTCCCACTAAGCACAGCTTACTAGCCCCTTTCCTTACATTCTTAAGTAAAATTGTGAATGGGACAAGAAAGGCAACTCTTGACTTATACTTAATGTTGTTTAATAAAAGTTTATTGAATTTACACTTCTGTGTACAATTTTGGTTTTGTTTTTAATTTAAGACATTTATTTTATGTCTGATTTAATACTGCTTTTGGTGCATAATTGAGAGTCTAGAGATTAAGATAGAATAATACTTAATATTTTATAGATGTCCTTTTTTTTCTCCTTCACCAACAGTTTGAGAAAACGTTGCAGTGATTTTTGGACTAGGTATTATTGGCTGCGACAACTTTAACAGGCCTGAGATTAGCATGATGTTTGTTTGAAGATTTAACCATCCTATTTCTTCATTAATTAGAAATTTTAAACTATTCCCTGGTAATGGTTTTGCGTTTTGTTTATTGTGTAGGTACTTAGCCTCTGGGGGCAGAGGAAGTTTTGGTAGTACCTTAGATCAAATTATTTACTTCAAGGTGTGTCTTGAACTTTTAAAATCTGTATTAATTATGGGCTGAATCTTAAGTTGGAACCTAGACTGTTTTGTCCACTGAGTGATGGCCCTGTAAGCTTCGTCAGCCTGCAGATAAGCTGCTTTGTCTTTTCCTTTTCCTGCTTTCTAGCTACCCATCATCCTTATAATTCTTCACTGCTCTTACCAAGTTTCCCATACTATCTTCTGCTCAGTACTTGCCCAGTCCAGTTTTTTCTCACGCTTAGACTGCCCATGGCTAGCACTTGCAGCAGTCCTGGAATCTGAGAAGAGAAACAGGAGAAGGGACTGTTCAGAATCTTAAAGCAGGAAAGGCTCTTATAGTTGGCTGGTCTGACCTGTCATTTTGCAGATGAGGAGAGAGAATTCAAACTCAGGTCTCCTAATTCCAAATCTGAGGCTCTTCCCACTGGATCACACAGCATTGAGGCCAGCGTCAGGTTGGTCCACGGCGGGTGGCAGCCCCCCTGTAGGTAGAAGACCACCCAGAATCTCTCTGATGCCCATGTCAGAGCCTTGAGGGTCTATGCTAGCTGACAGCAGGTGGATTGGAAGGAGTACAAGATAAAACAGCAGATGCCGCCCCCTTGGCTGTCTTTGGTCCCCTTTCTCTTCAGTTCTTACTTCTCCTACTTCTTCCCAACCATATCCTTTTCTGCTACTCTCTCTTTTTGCTTTTATCCCAGCGTTCTCTTTTGCTGGAGGCACATGCTGACCTTTCCTGTTTGCTGTTTCTTGTTCATCTCTTTATTATTTTTTTGCAAAGGTTGCAAGCCACTCCTTAATTCCTGGCCTTTTTAACATTTTGTAGGGGCAGTTCAGTACCTTGATTGTATTAATAAAGGCCATTAGATTGTAAAATTTTGACACTCTACCTCCTGTTTATTTTCCTTTTCCAAAATATCATTTGTTGCTTTCCAGGTAAGAGTTACAATAAACTTAAGTTTTGCTATTCAGCATATAAATAGATGTTTTTATACAGTAGACTTTGAAGAATTTTAATTATTGGGGTGGGATAAGTAGCTACTGTCAGGGAATGTTATACTTTCATATATATACAAATATTTTTCCAAGAATGTGTATAGTCATTTATAGGATTACTAAGGGAGCCCTGAAGTATCCGTATCATCTAGTGGAATATGTAACCTTTCAGAGAGTAGTTTACCTGAAACCTATCAGAACTTGTCATAATTTATACACACAGAAAGCATATGTGCATGGAGGTGTGTTGAAAGGTAGAAAACACTGTACATATGCTAGTTCCGTCTCCTTTGGTGGGTCTTCACTAACCATGGATATAGCCCAGGGCTCTGTCCTGGGCCTTCTTCTTGTCTCTTTCTATACTATCTCTATTGGTGATCTCATCATTCCTTATGGGTTCAGTTAACATAGTTATGAAAATGAATCCCATGTCTTCAACTGGATGTCTTGAAGGCCCAGTATGTCCAAAGTAGAACTTATTTTCCTCCTCAAACCTTCCTCTTTTCCTAACTCCCCTATAACTGTTGAAGGCACCACCATCCCCCCCAGTCAGATAGGCTTACCACCTTATTGTTGTCCTTGGTTCCTTAACTGCACAGTGCATCACCCCATGTCTGTTATTTCTACTTTCACGACAGTTTTTTACGTGTCTCCTTTTCTCAGCTCACTTATTGCCCATCCTTTTAGAAGCCCTCATCACCTCTCACCTAGACTGTTGCAATAGCCTTATAATTGGTCTCCCTACCTTGAGATTCTTCTCCACTCCAGTGCTGTGTCCCTAGCTGCTAAAGGGCAGGTATGACCTTGTCATCTCCTGTGTCTCCCTTTTACCTCCAGTATCCAATATAAACTTCTCTGGCATCTAAAGCCCTTCACAGTCTTGTCCTTTTTTAACCTTTCCAGTCTTCTTAAACTTTGCTTCCCTCTGTGTGGGCTACAGTTTGTCTACACTGACCTATTTGCTGTTTCTTGCACACAATACACCATCTCCCACCTCCATGCCTTTGTACTGCCTGTCTGCCATCCCTCAAATGTTCTCCCTTCTCACCAGTTCTTGGCTTCCTTCAGTACTAATTTCAGTAGGAGTCCTTTCTCAGTCCTCTGTACTGCTCACACCTTCTGAGATTACTTTCTGTCAAATTTGTGTATATCTCATATATACATAGTTATTTATATGTAGTCTTCCATTCCAAATGCAAGCTCCTTGAGGGTAAGAACTACATGTTCACCTTTCTTTGTATCCACATCACTGAGCTCAGTTCCTGGTACATAGTGTTGTCTGACTTATCTTGTTTGGTGTCAGGGTACTAGAATAGCAGTGCCTTCCTTGGTTGTAGATGTCCTGTGTATGAGGAGGACATGATTTGAATTCCAGAATAATGGATGCTCTGGCATGGGGAGCTAGTTTAAAATGATGTCTTCTTTAGACCCCTTCAGTCTTTTACTTACCTGCACAGCTTTCCTGGACCACAGATTTGCTTTTTTAATGCACATTTTGTGGGTGAGAGTGTGACAGTGGGACCTTTAAAGCCAGCTCCATTTCTAAGATCTAAGATAAGTGTAAAGGAAACTGCAGTCACATATCCATGCCTTCATACTTTATTTTTCTATATCTGAGAGGAAGAGGGTTTATATTTTCTCTCTTAGGCAGAGATGGGACTTGTTATGGTATGAAGCAGTAGCCCCAACTTAGAAAGACTTTCTGTTGGCTAACTTAACGAGAGAGTGTTTTGGGGGAGGCCAAGCAGCCCTATCTCTGGCCAAGAATAATTGACCTCAATAAGAGTTACTAAGGAAGGCATTTGGATTCAATTATCATGCATCGGGAAACACTGAGAGCTTCAGGGCTATCCTGCTTAAGAAGTGTAAGTCAAGTAGAATTTGAACTAGAATATGCTCAAACCCTCAAGGAATTAACCATTTACGTTTTAATACAGCCATGCAGAGTAGCCACTGACCCAAGGCCTGAAATTAGGCCAAGTCTGCAAGAAATCAGGTTTTGATCAATAAGAATTCTACTAGAAAATTGAAAATATAAGCCACAATTGTAATTAGCATTTAGTACTAAATTTCTTCAGGCTACCAATGCTGGTTTATTGCATGGCTTCGCCTGACATTAGGACGTGTGGGGAAGCTGGTGAATATTCTGTTGACTAGCATACATTTGTCTAAACTTGTAGTTCTAAAAAATGCTGTAGGATGGTTGAAATATGTGTAACTTAATTTCCCATGAATTTTGACAAATACTGCTCATTATTATGGATTGATGTTATTAAATGGAAAAATTTGCCTCAGTTCATCAAAGTTTCAAGCCTGTTCTGCAATTTAATATTTTTAATCTTTTGGCTTACAGGTAAATGGAGCCACTAACAGTGACCATTTAACTACTGTACTCTACCTCCAGCTCACTATTTATTCAGGTCTGAAGAACATAGAGAAAACAATACTGTGCCTACAAAAACTGATTTCTTTGCATCATTTTAATCCTTGGAATTGGGCCAAGCTTGCAGAGGCTTACTTGAGCCTTGGACTAGCTCTCTCGGCCTCATTTACTTCATCTCAGAAAGAAAACAGTTTTACCTCAAGTGACCAAGAATTCAAAGCCCCATTCCCATCACCAAAAAAAGATCCTTCTCTAAATTTTTCCAAAATCTTGAATGGAGACTCTGGGTTTTCTATGGGAACAAGTGGTAGCTGTGTCCAGAAAAATGAAAACTCTTTCAGTGATGTGTGGCCTGTGGCACCAGAGACCCCCTTCCATCTGGCATTTCAGTCCTGGGCACCCGCAGTATGGGCAAGGATTCAAATGAAAGCTTGTGCCTCATTTATCAGAGCCAGGTAAGCTGAGGATGAATGAAAAAAGGCAGGATAATGGGGTCAGAGAAGGGCTTTTCTGTTCTGCATTGTAAGTGTATAACCTTTCTGTCAGTCGACACATTGTGATTTCCAGACTTTTGCTTTAGCTCTAATCAGTACAGGGCTTCAGAAGGACATTGTTTAGTTTTGGGAGAAAGGGGCACAGTAAAATGCCCCTCTGTTATACAGCTCACACCACCAGTGTTATTTTGATCCATAAGAATATGGATATGCTGCCTAGAGAATGCTGCTTGTCTTGCTTTCTGAGATAAATCTGTGAGAATTGAAAAAAGAAAACTGAATGTCAAATTTATCTCATTATACAGCTGAGAGTGGCTTTGAAAAAGCAGATGAAGGATTGTTTTTATGAGGAGGCAATTCTTTTTAATGTGTGCTCTTCTTTTAGGAAAATTAAATGCTCAGCTCTCTTGTTGTTTGTATCCACAATAATGGGAATAGATCACTCTTACTTCGCTCACCCTACAGAGGGGTCAGAGGATCCACCCCTTGGGAATTCAAGCTCTGGTCTCCTTAAAATATATAAATTCAGAAGCAGAAAGATAATTAGGTACTTGTGCATTTTATGAGCAAAGAAAATTGCTGTGTAGGTTTATGTTATTATCCAAGAACATACTTTTTTTTTTTGAACCTAGGAGTCAGAAATATAAAACAAAAACAAAAAAACACAGTCTGAAGAACTTTATAGGGAATATATATCTGCTCAGCAGATTCTACATTACCGCCAGGCCTAAAACACTCAGAGGTTTTTAGTTGGTAGGGTTGGGCTCTCTCTAATCCTGGTTTCTATATTAGAAAATAAAGACACCACTTAAATTCATAGGTATTAATCCATGCTATTTCCAAATAGCAGTGAGCTATGGTAAGGTATTTGCCATATTAAATAGTATCACTGATAAATGTATCCAGTTTAGAGGCAGTGCATCTAAAAGGCCAGTCAGCAAAATAAAATAAAAGAGAAAAAAGCCGCTGTAGGAAACATTCGGATCTAACCTATCCACCTAATCCAGTGATGATGATTCCTAAGTAATACTCAACAGCAGGATTACTCCCTGAGTGAATATAAATGGGCTCTTTGTGATGCCCCACCTAGAACCTCTAATCAGTCTGTCGGCCCATTGTGGTTTTCAGGCTTTTGCTTCAGCTCACTCAGTCTCAGCAAACATCTTTTGCTCTAGAGAAGAACTTAAAGGCTCAGGAGGAAATTGAAGATAGGCTGAAAGGATTCAGCTTTGAAGAAGAAACTTTACTGTTGATTTCTGAGGTGAGTGTCCACCTGATGTGGGGGCCCCGCTCTGCACTGTCTTGCAATCATTTCAGTTGCAGAGAGGAGCCCTCTCTTGTCAGTTTCCCTCTACTGCTCTGACCCAAACTGTCCTGCAAAGCTTGCCATCATGGTAGCTCTAGAAAAAGTCTGGGGAAATAGCATCAGAGACCACTGACTGAAGCACAGTTTGGGGACTCTGTATGTTTGGGGACTCTGACTGTCCTCACGAGAAGAGCCTCAGAGGTCAACCGGACTGACCTTGCCCCGATTCAGGGTTGTGCTTCCTTGCAGGATGGACAGATGGCAATAGTGGTTGGCTCTTTGTGCTCATGAATCAGTGCATTGCATTTGTAGACAGCTTTCCTTGTTGGAAACATTTTTCTTAGAGTGAAGGAAATCTGCCTTGTGTCACTGCCGCCTTTCCTTTCTAGCAATGCATTATGTCCAGTCCTCCTTACCATTAACAGTTTATAAGTAGAGTCTTTAGTACATTTCTCTTATCTAGTGCTTAGCTTCTCTTTTTCCTAATGTTACAAACAATCCACCCTTCCCACTTGCACTGGAATAAGAAGTTGCTTTGAGGGGCTTGAGTTTCCCTCCTACTTCCATACCACATAACAGAATGTTCTATATGCATATTTTGTCTTTCTAGGACATCTGCTAGATCAAATGAAGGAAGCCTTCGGTCAGTTCCTAAATATTCTCTTTTCCAGGCTAAAGAGCCATAATTCCTTTGGTCACTGAATGAGTCCGAATTTTTTAAATGCCTGCTATATGCCAGGTACTGTACTAAATGCTGGGGATGCAAAGAAAGGCAAGAGACAGTCCTCCTCACCAAGGGTTCACAGACTAATGGGAGAGACAACTCGAAAACTTCTGTGTACAAACAAGATCTAGAAAGGATAAGTTGGAAGTCATCAATGGGAGAAGGTACTGACATTAAGAGGGATCAGAAAACACTATGTGAAAGGTAGAAGAGATGAAGAGGGAGAAAATTTGGGGCATGGAGGAAAACTGGTAAAAATTTGTGGAATCTAAAGACAGTGAATTGTTTGAGGAGCAGCCAATATCACTGGGTCCAAAAGGATGCAGGGATGAATTAAGTTATGAGAGACTGGAAAGCCAGGTAAGGAAGGGGTCAATGTATGAAGGATTTGAGCACCAGAAGATTTTATTTTTAGTCCTGAAGGTGATAGGGAGCTCCCGGATTTTACTGAACAGAGAGATGACATGATCAGACCTGAGCTTTAGGAAAATTAATTTGACAGCCAAGTGGAGGATGGACTAGAGTGGGGGGAGACTTGAGGCAGAGAAAACAATGGGCAGACTTAGAGTAGTCCAGGCCTGTGATAATGATGGCTTGCACCAGGGTGGTGGCAGTGGCAGAGTAGTGAGGAACATACAAAAGATGTTACAGGGGACAGCGAGGTGGCGCAGTGGATAGAGCACCAGCCCCGAAGTCAGGAGGACCCGAGTTCAAATCGGGCCTCAGACCAAACACTTGACACTTACTAACTGTGATCCTGGGCAAGTCACTTAACCCCAATTGCCTTTAAAAAAAAAAAAAAAAAGATGTTACAAAGTTAAAATGGACAGGTCTTGGTGACAGATTGGATATGGGGGTGGTGAGAGAGAATGAGGAGTTGAAGATGATGCTTAGGTGACCAGTCTCATACTGCTATGGAGAAAGGACATGAGGAATTTTAATTTGGTATGACATGTTCTGATTGAACTAAGTTTCTTTCTTTCTACAATTGCCTGGGTTCCTAGAACTCCCTGTTCTCTGGTTATTCGCCTCCAACGTAAAGACACTGCTGCTCTCCAGAGACATCTTTAAGGAGTAAAATAAATAGCCTTCCAGTAGCTTTTATTTCTGCTATTTTATTTTCCATTAACATGGATAATTGAGCCTTGACTACGAATAAGAGAGGCAGTGTAGCATAAAGGATAGAGTGGTAGACTTGGAGTTAGCGTGATGTGGGTTCAAATCCTGCCTTCAGATACTAACTAGCTCTGTGACCTTGGGCAAATCACTTAATCTCTTGGAACCCCAGTTTGTGCCTCTGTAAAATGGGGGTGATAGCTGCAGCACTTAGCTCATAGGACTATTGTGCAACTCACGTGAGATAATGTGTGTAGAGGATCTTCCAAACTTCAAAGCACTATATACAAGTCTTTTATTATTATTGGCGTTTTTATCATGGCAATAAGTAGACCTAGTCTCTCTTCCTTCCATATAGTCCCCAGGGATTCCTGTCCCCAAAGTTCAGCTTTCTGCTCTTCCCTTTACACATTACTTCTGACAGCTCCAGTTCTGGCATCTTCCAGCTGTCATTCCTCAAATATCTGTCTCTGGCGTCATCTCCTATCTCCAGCTGTCTGCTGGACATTCCCTTTTGGATGTCTCACCATTACTTTACATGTCAGAATCTTTAAAACTGACCTCCCCAGGATGGGCTCTTGGTTCATTCTTGTGTCCCTGACGGTGCCTTGCACATAGTAGGTGATCGGTAAGTATTGAGTGAATGAAAGACGAGGTGTCTTTCTCCTGGCTTGCTTGTATCTCCTGCCACCAAAGCTTGGCACTGCGGAGTCCTGTCTGATTCCTCCCATACTTTGATCATCTGTGTCCAGTCAGTTACTGTGGAGCTTTCCTTCTCATGAAGGATTATTATGAATTCTTTTCAATGTCTGTCTTCCCCAGATAGCTGCTTTTATGGATACTGTTCCCTAATCTGCGTCCTTATATCTCTTAGATTATTATAATATCATATGTATATATACTCACATTCTATAATATACGTATATATGTGATATAATATGCAGTCTCCCTGCATCCAATCTATAATTTAATCCATTCTGAAAACTCTTCAAGTGAACCGTTTTAAAATACCACTTTGGTGAAGTTACTTTCCTTCTAAAAAACTTGTATTGACTTCTTATCACCTACAGGAACAAAGCCCCACCTCCTTTGCACAGCATTCAAGGCCCACCAAATCCAATTCCTATCTGGTTTCCTACTACTTTCCTCATACACACTACCCACATCAGACTAATCCACATATTTCCCAGATGTGCCTTGTGCCTTCTCTGTGGCCCTTGGTTGGTGCCTGTCCCTTTGCTTAGCTTTCCAACTTCCCCTCTATCTTTCTGAAGCTAACCTGGTCTTCAGAGTTCATTTCAAGCTTCATATTCTCCCTGAAACTCCCTGACAACTCTAGCCCATAGTAATTTCTGCTTCCTCTGTGATCTTTGGCATTTAGCATATGCTGACTTAGTATTTTGTGTGTGTGTGTGTGTGTGTGTGTGTGTGTGTGTGTGTGTGTGTGTGTGTGTGTGTGTGTGTGTGTGTGTGTGTGGTGTGTAGACTCAGAGCAGCCTAAAGCTGGAAGGGGCCTGATAGGAACATCTAGTCCAGCTCCTTGCTTCACAGATGAATCTTTTCCCTTAGTCTTCAAATACTTTGGATGTGTCTGTTGAGGGTGGGTTAGGAGGAGATAGGGGAAGGCTTAGGGATGGGGGCAGAGGTTGAAGCTGTGAGGCCATGGGCATCCTTAGGGATCTGTGGCGTTTGGGGCGTGTTTGGGGCAGTGGAAGTGGATGGGAAACTTTTTGGGGGCGTATGCGTAAGGGATGAGCTGAAAGAGAGTCTGTGTACAAGAGAAAACTTGTTTTCCAAACTAGATACTAAGCCTCTTGAAGGCAGAAACCATCTGGTAGTTCTTTAAAGATCCCTTAAAGAGTGGTGCTTCATCTCCCATTCTGTAGAAGGGAGGAAATTATTATTTAATACTGGATCTAGACACTCACTAAAACAGTCATTGGTGGTCACCTGGTCAATATGTATTTCACTTGCTTTTGCTTCAAACAAATTAAGGCCATTTGAAGGACTTCTTCTAATGAGGTGCTTATGCAACTGTTATTTTAAAATTTTCATTCATTTTATAACTACTTATTGAATATATTAAGGAATTTTTTTTAGTTTTATTTCATGTTGCTTGGCTTGGTGGATTCCATAGGATATGAAATGGTTTAAGATTTCTCTTTGTGCATTGTAGTAAATTTGATCACATATATTGGTCAACAGCTATGATTTGATGGCCACTTTAAGGTTAGTTTTTTGTTTTCCCTACCAACTACCTTTGCAAAGGCCCTGCAGACAAGGTGGTCCAAAATCCAACCCAGAGTTTTGAAGCCATGATGCAGCATCTGCGTGGACCTACATCTCTCCAGTAGGGAGCAGTAGAGCGTCCTCATTATGTTCTGCATAGCTGTTGTTTAGTTTCCCTTCCCCCTAATTATGTACATTATCCCCTTGTGCCCCTCACTTCTCACTGGTAGTGGGCCCAGCAGTTACTTCGAGGGGCTTCTGTCTCGCTAGCACTTGCATGTTTTGACCTCCTAACAGAGTTACACCTAGGATAAATTTTAATCCCAAAAGATTCATCCTGACAATGCCTCTACCATGGTTTGGCTAGGTGTGAGAAGGGCCTTGAATTGTATTTCTACCAGTCGAATGTGCTTGATACGAAAAGGTTAGTTCTTTCTGTGAGAACTGAATCCCAGTACTGGTCTGGTCCATTTTAATGGCACTTTCCCAAGGGGAGGTGAGATTGAGATGTAAACAAGAACATTGTGGAACTGAAAAGGGACCTTTCCATCAGCACAAAAGAATGAACATCGCTGGTTGGAAATGCCCCCATTTCTGTTCTCATTTGGAAATATTTAAATGAGTAGTTCACATTTTCTTCTCTCCTATGTCTGTCTGCTGCCTATTTTATTGGGAATTTGTGTGTGTGTGTGTTTCTTTCTGCTGCAGGTTATGAGAGAAGATCTCATTCCAGAAAAAATAAAAGATGAAGTTCATGCAGAGGTGAAATGTGTAGGCTCTGAAGCCTTGACTGCCCTGGTAATCGCATCTTCCAAAGAATTTGAAGACAAATGGTTCAGAAAGATCAAAGACCATTTATGTCCCTTTGAAAATCTGTTTCACACAGCGATACGCATCTCGCCTTAGCAGCCCATTAAAACAAAACACACCAAAAAATCTTGTTCTGGATTATCTTTTTTTATTTCATCTGGGACTGTGGCACGGAATGAAACAGAGCAAATTAAATTGATTTTTTATCTTTTTTGTAAAGTAGCTCTCCCCATTTCCCAACCCCCAAGATTATTTCCATTGTATTTCATGTCCTTTTTTTGTTTGTTTTAGAACTTTCAGTATATTTCCTTCTGTTAAGTATTGAATTTTAAGCCCTTCCTTGAAAACCTTGAGAAAATTCATGTTATTCAGCACCAGTGAGTTAACTGACAGTGCCGAGTACTGCCCCAAGTCTGGAAGGCTCATGACAAGGCATTCCTTAATTTTTCTACTGCAAATGTCCCTGCTTGTTTTTGTGAACCATCTTTAGTCTTCACTACTGTACTCAAAAAAGGCCTCTGGACAGCAGGCTCTTTCAAAACTGTTCTTATACCTTCGCCAGCAGTTTGGTGGTCTGCATTGCTTAAGATCCGGGAGTTCAGCAAACCAGGAGACATTGAGTGGGACAAACTGAAACACAACATTGAAAACCTTTGTAAGGAGGTTATCATCTTTATGATTCTTTCAGCCACACAAGACCAGAGCACTTTTTATGGCAGAATTGTGTTAGACAAAAAAGCCTTATAAATCATGAGAAGCAGACAAAATACCTTTCTGCATTGCTTCTATTTCTAGGCAGTTGAAGATAAACAGGGCAGGTCAGAGGGAAATCCAAGTTTGTCTGCATCCTTCCCTCCTTGGTTTGGACACTTCTGCTGTGCTCCAGGTTTCCAGTGCCCTGTTCCCCATCAAAGCAGGGAAGGTATAGTTGGTATCTAGACTTGTTCATTAACTGATCGCTCCTTAGTGTGAATGAGGTTTTGGTTTTTTTGTTTTACATTTTAAGCCTCATCTCTAATAATTGATTTGTCTTATTAAATGTTAGCCTGGTTAATAAGAGATATTTACAGGGCAAGGGGAGGTTTTCTAAAATCCCTTTAGACCCTACCTTTAAAGCTGCTCCTGAAAATAAACCTGATTTGATCCTTTCAGGGCCGGAGTTCCTGACCTCTGGGTATGAGAGCTCTTAAAATATTTTGATAACTATTTCAGTATAATTGTTTTTCTTTGCAATCATGTATTTTATTTTATGCATTTAGAAAAATTTCTGAGAAGGGGTCCATAGGCTTCACCAGACTGTTAAAAGGGTCCATGAAATAGAAAAAGGTTAAGAAGCTCTGTTTTAGAGTGACTAAGGATCATCTCTTTGTTTCTAGAGGAGGAGTGGGTAGGGCTAGGATGAAGGGGAAGAAGAAGGATTGGTCGGGGACAGCTGCTAGAAATTTATTCCTGAGAAATTCTGTGGCTTGAAGAACCATGACTAGAGCCCACCCTGCTGTCCCACAGGTAAGGCTTTCTCCTTCTAAGGCCTCTTCCTATTCTCCCAACTGTACCAGCATCTGGAGTGTGAGGATAAGAAGCTTCTATTTTCTAGCATATTTGATGCTATTTTTGTTTTTAATAATATTTTCCATATCCCTCCTTGAAAGCCTGGATCACATTCCAATGTCTTTATTGTTTTTACTTCTGATAATGAAGCTTCTGAAAAAGTTTCATGGAAACATAGTCTTTGTAATAAAGTATTACTCTACTTTCTTAACCCATAATTGGTGGAATCTTGTGGTGTCATAATATTCATATGTATCCTTTTGTCTATCATTACTACTTGACATTATTGCTGGGTAACTGGCCAAATAAATGTGCGTGAGCCTATGTACTTTGTGACAGCTGCATCCAGAGGCCAGGGAGAAAGATAATAGAAAAAAGTAGATGTTGCCTAGGGTAGAAAAAAGTAGAAAGAAAGCACATGAGAGTAGAATCATGCCATGGTGGACTAGGGGAAGTTGGTAGAACTTGAGGATAAAAAGCTGAATTTTAAGTACCATTCCTGTGAGGCAATGAGGAAATCCCAGAGAGGGCATGAGTGTTGGGAGAAGAGAAATAAATTAAGTGGTTCCCAACTAGATGCTGCCAAGGCTGTGAGTGCTTCAGAGAAATTCTGCCTTCAGATTCATCCAAGTCAATAAAAATGGTGAACAGATTAGGAGTGAACATCAACCCTTGAGGAACTTCTGCTAAAGGCCACTCTCCAGGCAATCTCAATCCTTTTATCAGGGCTCTTTCGATGTGTTTGTTCAGTTGCTTCTGAATTCATCTGACAAAATCATTTCTGTCAGATCTCCATCTTCTCAGTATAGTATGAGAAGTCGTCAGATGCCCTGCTAAAATATGCAAGTGTGTTGTCTATTGCATTTTCCTTGTACCAGTTCTAGTAATTCTGACAAAAAGATCAGATGAGCTTAATCTAGCATGTTTTATACATAGTGAACCCATTATAGCTCCTAATGACTACCTCTACTTCCCTTTTAAGTATTCTCAAACCACCCTTTCACAGTCTCTTCCCTAATTCTAGAGAGATGGATTCCTAATGAAAGTGATAATTAAATTTAGTCTTGGAGGATCAGTGGGATTTCAACAGGCAGCTATGTTCAGAGAGAGGGGTTATTCCAAGTGAATGATATAAAGTAGACTAGTATTCTGGGAATGTCAGAAAGTCTTGTTTGACTAGGAAGAAGTGACATGATAAAAGACTAGAAAGGTGGATGGAGTCTTCCTCATGGAGGGCCTTGAATGATGTCAAACTAAAGAGTTTGGACCAATTTATGTAAACAGACAAAAGTTTAGAAACAAGTGAACAAGCATTTATTAAGTGCCTTCCAAGTGCCAGTCACTATGCTAAGCACTGGGGATTCAAAGTAAGGCAAAAATAGGCCCTGCCCTCAAAGAGTTCACAACTGGGGCAGACAGCTATGTACAATCAGGATATATACAGGATAAATTGGAGAAAATCTCAAGGGAGAAGGCACTGATATTAAGGAGGACTAGGAAAGGCTTCTCGAAGAAGGTGAGATTTTAGATGAAAGTTGAACAAAGCCCGAGATGAGGTAGGAGAGCATACTAGGCATGGAGGACAGCCAGTAAAATCAGAGTGAGGGTGGAATAAGGAGCTGAGAGTCATTGGAATAAGATGTAAGAAGACTGGAAGGATGGGTAAGGGGTCAGGTTAGGAAGAACTTCAAAAACTAAACAGATGATTTTATGTTTCATCTTGAAGGTAATAGGGAGCCATTGGAGATTATTTGGATAGAGGGGTGACATAGTCAGACCTATGCTTTAGGAAAATCACTTTGACAACTAAGTGGACTGGAGTGGGGAGAGACTTGAGGCAGGGAAACCAACAAGCTGCCTGTTGCTATATTCCAGGCCTGAGATGATGAGGGCCTGTACCAGGGTAGTAACAGTGTCAGAGAGAAGGGAGCATATTCAGGAGCTATTACTAAGGTACGATTGACAGGACTGGGCAACGATTGGATGATGGGAATGAGAGCAAAGTGCTGGAAATGACACCTAGGTTGGGAGCCTGGGTGACTGGGAGGATGGGTGGTGCCCTCAACAGCAGTAGGGAAGTTTGGAAGAGTTTTGAGGGAAAGAATGAGTTCAACTTTGGACATGTTGAGTTTAGGTTGTCTGTGAGACACCCATTTCAAGACGTCCAGTAGGCAGCTGGAGATGAGAGCTGAAGGTCAGGACTAGAAAAATAGATCTGAGAATTATCTACTTAGAGATCTGATTGGACATGGGGCAGGGGAGAAAGATCATAGATTTAGAGTTGGAAGGGACCTTAGAGGTCATTTCATCTAACCCTCGCCCTCATATTCCAAATGAAGCAACTTCAGCTAAGAGCAGTAGGTGATTTGACTGAGGTCGCACAGGTAATAAGTAGCTGAGTTGGATTCAAACTAGATTCTCTAAAAATCTAGTAACCTGTCTGCTCTGTCAAGTGAGAATCAAGGATGCTGATGAAGTTGGAGGCACAGGGAGAAGAGTAGCAGGTTTGGGAGAAACGATAGACCTGTTCAGTTGGAGGCATTCTTGTAACAGGGCCTGAATCTAGGCCAGCTTGAATTTTCAACCTTATTTGTAGTCCTGAGAACTTCGGCAGTGGTAGGCATTCTCAGCAACAGACAAGAAAACGTCTGCCTTTAGTTCCTGCCCCTTCCTCAGTTCAGCACCATTTATGGTGGTCAGGGACCTTCTCTGAAGGACCCGGCTGTATTTCTGGCCCTTCAACCAATCAATAAAATATGATGTTAGTAATAAATATTAAACACCTACTATGAGCAAGATGCTTCCCCTTCTGGATTCCACCATTTCTGTGATCTAAGGAGTAATGGAATCTTCAGAACCAATTGAAGACATGCAAGCCCAGGTCTTGTGGTTTGGGAGGAAAATACTATTATGTATGAACAACCAGACTCTTTTTTTCCTCTTCTGTAGACAGTAGTGCTCCAATGGAATGACTCATTAGTGATTCTGAATATGTTGTATATGGCTGAGTGAGCTTGAGAGGGTACCAGGGGATTTCAGGCTGCATACTACATTTATCTATATTGCCTTTGGAGCCCTGAACTCAGTGTGCTCGGCCACCATCTTATTTCCTCAGCCAGTAGCTTGAAACTATTTATAAGGAAATAGACTCAGACTCATATTTGAATACCAAAGGCAAGATATGTCAGTACTTTCTTCCAGAGTTCATTCAGAGCACCTGAATAAACCTGAGGTGAACTTTTGCACAGGGAAATTCTATTCTGAGAAAGAGAACTGTGAGACCAAAAGGGATGTTAACTCATGTAGCCCTTCTCCTGCCTCCAAGAAAAGCTGTGTTAAGCTGTCTCAAGCAGAAGAGATCTGGTCATCTTTTTAAAGACTTCCAAAAAGGGATATTTCCAAACCCATATTAGTGTTCAGTAGTCCTCATTATTTGAAAATCCTTATAGCTAAATTAAAACTCATATGGTAGAGTTTAAATATTTTTCTGTTCTGCAGTTGAAGAAGAATTGGTCCTGTCCTTCACGAGGAAAGACTATTGTTATGGAATCTTTTTCATAGCCTTCACTTTTTCGGACAAACAGTCCCTACTTTTTCTTCAAAAAAAGTCTAAATCATGTATCAGAGGCTCCCTTCCTGATCTGAAGGGCCTGGGTAAACTTTGGGGAACCTCTCCGTGCTCCCTCCCCAGATGATCCAGGGACTTCACTATCTGGCTCCCCTCTAAAGTAGAGTTGCTGACTTCCTTTACAAGTCCATGAATTCATAAGACTCCCAATAGTAACAAGTTTAGAGGTTAATAGAAACCCATAGCCCTCTGGTGAGAACCCATAGAAAATACCAATACTCACCAGCGAGCAGCCCTTCTCTCTCACAGTTTTGCTCTGGGTCAGGTTGCTTAGTCCCCGTGCCCGTGGCTGCTTTTGGAGACATTGCTGTTGGCTGATCCTCATTGCAGTTCAACTTAGTACAGCTCTGCTCGTTTTCCAGAAGGTCCTTTATGCTAGCCTTCCTTTTCCTTCTCCTGCCTATTCACATTCTGAAGCTCTGTCGAGGTGACGGCACCTGCTCCCTTTGCCAGGGAACACGTTCTCCAACACTGCCCATTGGAAAGCACTCCCGAGTCTCAGTCTTGGCAGTGGGTTTCCAGCTTAGCTGTAGCTCCAGATGAGGGGGCCTCTTTTTGGAAGCATTCATGTGATGTGGTTTTCTAGCCCCCTCAGTTCACACACAGGAGTTAAACTACCTTCTTCAAAGCAGATGGCTCTCCTTAATTCCATGTTGGCTCCTAATATCTATGGTGGCATGTGCCCTTTTTCCCTCAGTGCTGGGGTGTTATGGCTCTTGAACATTCATTACTCTGCATTGTTCTAGAGGCTCTGGGGAGAGAACACCCCAAGGTGTCTCTCAGCCCACCGAAATTTTTTCTGGGCAATATTTGTCCCATTTACTCAGGACTACTTCCTAAAACATTCCATAGTGGGAGGGCAGCCACCCAGCAATAGGTCTTCTTTTCCAGCCCTTTTAGAATCATAGCCTTAGAAGGGAGCCACTTTGATGCCACCTGAAGCATATACTCTCTCCAATATCTCTGACAAGCAATTATCCAAGCTCTCTCCCTGAAGACCTCTAGTTGTACCAGTCTCCCTCCTGCCTGCCTAAGATGCCCAGTTATGTTTGGCCAAGCCACCCTTGTTAGGGGGTTCCCTATTTTTAACCCAAATTTGCTTCCTTGAAACTTCTACCCACTGGTCCTCCTTCTGTTACCTGGGAGCAGGCAGGATAAGTCTAGTCTTTTTTCTAGAAGGAAAGCTCAGATGGACTCTTTAAAGTCTTTGCTTAAATATCCACCATTCTTTTCTTGTATGATTGTGGTTTCAATACCTCACCCTCCCTCTTTTAGTTGTCCCCTTTTCAATGGAAGCCTCAAAGTGCAGGGCCCAGAGCTGAGGGCAGTAGCTGGGGGGTGGTCTGCCCAGGGCAGAGTCTGAGAGGTCACCTTTTTAACTGCTCTACAACAGCCTACTGGGTAGCTATATGCTCACAGCAGCCGCTGTAAATAGAAGAGCTAGTAGGGAGAGGCATCTTCAGTTTGGTGCAGGTGCCCTTGTAAATGTATTTGATGATGTCACCCTCATAACCCACCCTTCTCCACTTTTCCAAGTCATTCAGATAATTCAGATACAGAAGCAGCTGTCTGTCAGCTGTTCCCATTCCATTCCTGCAGCTCTCTGAACCCTCTCCACTCTTTCCATTTATATCCTTAGTTATGGAAAGGCAGGGACTGAATGAAGGAAAGGATTAAGTTGTGGATTATTCCTACATGTTGTGCTCCCAGTGAGGTGTCCCAGTGTCCCCCGCTTACTGTATTTCTCTATTTGCCTTCCTGTTCAACAGTGCTGTACTCGTTAGCCCTCTTAGTAAGAAGTATGTTGACATTTAATAGAAAAATGGCAAGAATAAGGCCTTTGAGTGTCTTCTACTTTATAGATCCCATTCTTAAGGAACAGCCATCAGAAATGTACTCTGTTGGCATTCTGCCAACCTAGAAGACTCAGGAGGTTTTTTAGCAGAGATACAAGATATATGTCTAGTGCCTCAGTTATACTGGGAAAAAAAGTATAGGGCTTTCAGAGGGCTTGTTCAGAACGCAGTCAGCAAGCAGTTTATTTCCTTGATGTGTGAAGCTCTGGCCATCCAGTTTGGTAATGCCTGTAAAATTACCCCAAACCTCTCTTTTTGGAGGTTTGACCTGCCTTGTGGCGAGCTATCTCTGCTGTAGGCACTATCACCACCATCCTACTGCCTGTTGCTGGAAACATCACTGCCTTTTTCTGGAATCTTCTAAGCCTAGAAAATTCCTCTTTGGAAACATGTGTTCCTTGACAATACCTACTGCCTCTCTGCTTGTGACCTCAGAGATGAGAAATCAGTTAGATGTGCTAGAGTGAGATGTTGCCCCTCCCTATAAAATCCATGGTGCTCAGCTATGTCATTGAGCAGCCTGCATCATCAAGCTGCCCCATTTGGAGTGCCCTGGTATCCTTTTCCTGCCCCCAATTTGGAGGTTTTGCTTGCTGCCTTTGTATTCATCTCTTGTTGCCCCTACCCCTGTGTTTTTGTCCTCAGGTATTTCCTTAAGTCAAGCCTTCTCTTATATGAATAAAAATGTGCAAGAATAATGGCTTGCTGCTTTAAGCATTCACAGAAGGCCAGCTTCTTTTTTGAAGCCCTTAAACCCCCAAACTTACTCCAGTGTGTCAGGGCAGATGTTGATACCATAAGCAAAGTAAATTTCACAAAGGGTCAGATTAATGGCTCTCTTTTTGGAATTACCAATGTCCCTTAGATGTGGAGCAGTTCAACTGAAAATCCAGGGAGGAAACATGAGGCTTCGAGGCCCCTGTCACAGACCTCAAAGGCTGAACTGAGGCTCTGACTTTCTTCTTCCATTCTTGTATGTAACATCCTTCACAAATTGGCTTATACCTATTTCTGATTTACACGGAATTTCAGAGTTGGAAGGATCCTCACAGGCCATCTAGCCCAGTCCATGCCCCCAAAGAATCCTTTCTACAATACTTTTGACAAGCAGACATCCAGCCTTTGCTTGAGGAATTCGATTAAGGGGAACCCACTACCTCCCAGAGAAGCTTGTTCCACTTTTAAATTGTAACAGCAGTTAGCAGAGAGCCTTTTTTCATGGCCAAAGTGCGACCCTGATGGGTAAGACTGGGGACCCAAAAAATTTGAAATGTGTATTTTTCAGAGAATGAGTCCCCAGACTCTTCCTTTGATCCTCTTTAAGGGTTGCTAAAATAATTCTTTTTAGTTCAGTAATGACCAGTCAAACTCCACAACTGTGGAGTAAGATTGCTGACACTATTCACCGAGAAGGTGATTTCAGTCCTGGGAAATTCCAAGAGTTTAGGCAAAACCACTCACAAAATAGGGAAATCTCTGGTGGTTCTGCTCCTCCATCTTTATCATGAAGGAATGGAGTCTATTAAATTCCTTGGTGGCTGTTTAGAAGTCTCCATCAAATTTGGTTTCAATTGGAGGAGGGAGACAGTGGACACCCAGTAGTAATGGCTTTCATGTTGATCCAGGGTCTTCCCTTCCCCACCCCCCACCTGGTTGACCACAGGATTCTGAAGACATATTGCATGGATTTACAGTATCAAAGCAGGATGAAAGGAAACAAGGTCCAACAAAACTCTGTAGACCTAGAGTTCCTCTTCAACCACGGAGGCAAATGTAACAAGTCACTTTAAGTCAAGGGAGTGGTGAAGGATATTACTGACCAAAGATGAGGTCCAAGTATGTGTGAGGGATACCCTCCTCATGAAGGCTGATTATAAACTAAGAGATCCCTTTATGAACACGTCTCTGATAGTGCAGATGCCTGGGGAAGGGATGCAAGGCTGGATAAGAAGTGTGCCAAAGAACTGTTCCTTACAGGTAGCTGAATATTCTAATTATTTAATTTTTTTTCCATTCCCCCTGCCATGCCATCACACCCCAAGACTCAGTGTTTGAGTGATGAGACCCACACTCAACATGAATTCATTCCCTGGCCTGTTTTATTGTAATTTTAAAATTTAATTCCATCCTGTTGGCAATGAGGGTATGAACACCCAGTTGTCTCCAGGTATAGTCAGCTTACTGATGGGAAGATTTGCTAATCCAAGGTTCCTGTCTGGGCTTTGAGGCCTAGCCTGTCTTACAACATGCTGCCTCTTCCAGGGAAACCTCCCTCCTTCCTCCCAAATCTTCTTTTCTATTCTAGAAACACAACCATCCAAGACTCTGTAAGTCCCCAGCAGCACCCTTCTTGTTACATTAGAAATGGAAAACCAATTAGGTACATCCAAGGGAGACCCTCCCATTCCCTAGAAACCCCGAGCACCTTGGTGATCCCTTCTATGCCTTGGTTTACAGGTGCTGGCTGCTGACATGCTTTGGGGGTGTTAGTCATGGCTCCAATGCGGAGCTGCCTAAAGTGTCCCAAGACTCTGTCTTTATAGCACCTGTCTCCATGTTTCTGCATTTAAGCTATAACCATTAGCCAAACCTTCCTTTGTGTGTTAAAACATCCCGTAATAAAGACTTAATGCCTTAAGCATTCATTCATTGGTCAATCTGATGAAAAAAAAGTCATGAAACCTTTTAATTCTGATAACCATTTCAATGACCTGGGATAGACTTCCCTTCCAAAGTAAGAAAGGACCTACAGAGAATTTTCTCCCCCACTTCTCGTCAGGACCTTGGTCATGGTTTACCATTGTTCTTTTACATATCCTCACCTGAGAAAGCATTATTATAAAGTCTCCTTAAGCATATCTTATAGACAGAAAAAGTTTATATTGGTGCTTAAATTTGTGTGTCTGAAATATTTACAGTTTCTCCTTGCAGTTTTTCTCACACATAATCTTCAGAAAGAAACTGTGAACGTGAGTGACAACTTCTCTATGTCAAACAGCTCCAAGGATCAAGGGAAAATGGAGAGTGCCTCTGTGTGTGACTCATCTCTGCTATATATGTGACAGTCCTGCCACTGTGAAGAAGCAAATTGAGAATAAGGAAGCTATGTATGGGCTTGGTAACATAAGACTTTCTGCTGTCCATCAGTAACTACCACAGGATTAGGGAACTAGGTTTGTGTGGTCCTCAGGAATTCAGCTGTGCTAAGTATTGAGTAATATTGAGATAGTTTGTGGGTGCCTGGAGGTGAGGCCCAAGTCAATGGCAGATGAATAATAGGTTTTCATAGGAAAAAGTAGTCTGGGACCACTGGAAGTTTGGGTATAAAGGAGGTGCAGGGCAGGCAGTAAGAGAGGGACTGAACTCAGTGAAGTTGATTGTGTTGAACATCTATTAAAAAAAAGTTATATTGATGTGTTTTGTTTTTTATGCCCCAGTGATTTCCTGCTATACCTTCAACCTACCACTGAACCCTCCCTTTAAGTGAAGTAAAACTGTTAAGGAGTCCTGACAGACAGAATAACCACTTCTGAAGGCATGGTAACAGTCTGAGCCTCTCTCCTGAGGCACAGAGGGAACCGTGTTCTCCAAGAGCTCAGTTGATCATTTTAATTAATTTGAGTTTGATTGTCTTTTGATCTTGTTTTCATTTGTATTACAGTTATCATGTATATTGTTTTTCTGGCTCTGCATACTTTACTCTGCATCAGTTCATATAAGTCTTCCCTTGTTTTTCTGAGATCTTTGTATTTGTCCATTTTTGTAGAACAATAATATTCCATTATATTAAAATACCACAGTTTGTACAGTCATTATCCCAGCTCATGGGCATTTCCCCCCACCTCAACCTTTCTTTGCTTTCTCTCTCTCTCTGTCTCTCTCTCTCCCTCTCTCTCCCTCCCTCTCTCTCTCTCTCTCTCTCTCTCTCTCTCTCACACACACACACACACACACACACAGTGTTGCTATGAATATTTTGATGTATGTCAGATTCTTTCTTGTCTTTGACCACCTTAAGATATATGCCCAGGAGCAAGCTTGATGGATCAAATTTGGTGACTTTTAAGGGTCTCTTTTTCTAATCATCACTCCCAGTGTGGGCTTCACTGATTTCCTTTCTGTGTTGTCAGAGACAGTGGAGCCAGCACCCATTAAGATGATATTTGTGGAATCCAACATCCCACTTTCACTCCATCAGCTACGATGATAGGGATCAACAGCTCTGATGGGGAAAACATCCATATTTGAGTGACCCAACAGCATTTGAATTACTGTTATTGTTAGAAAAGATAAGAAGAAAGTGCAGGACAGAAGAGAGTTAGGGCCTTCATCAGCCTTTCCCAAAACGGAGGCAGGAACATTGTGTAAACCTTGCTAGAAGTTGTGGCTCAGGAGAACCATGCCCCCGGGGAAGGTGTCTCTAATAAAAGGCACCAAGGCACAGAGCGCTTTCAGGCTCTGAGTGGTGGGATCTGTTTGTTGGCTGCTGGTTGAGAGCAAACTGGCCAAACAAATTGAGTTGAGGGGGTTGGGGTTTGGGGCAGGTTTGGCAAGCAAGGAAGTCATTTCCAAGGAGTTGCTCCTGAGCATCCAAAAGTGACATTTCCACATGGTCAGTTCCTCGCCCATTGCTGGAGGATGTGGATAGATGCTCCCTTTTATGTACTTCCAGAGGTTCACGTGTAGAGACATTTCCCTCTCCCCCTTCCCACGAATCTCATTGTAGCATAGTTTATACAGGAATCATGGTAGCATAATAGGGTCCCCTGACACCTTAGCTCCCCGGTAACCATTGCAACCCCTAGTTAACCCCTCTAAAGCTGATGTACCTTTTAACCCAAATCAACCCCAGTCCCTCCTGACCCCTTGGTAAACCTTTGTCTAGACCACATACTCTTTGCCAGGGTTAATAGCTGAAATTTCCCAAGAATTGCAGGAGAGGAGAGCTTAAGGATTCAGTTTGTGGGACCTTGAACCCGAAATTATCTCACCTATAACCTAGTTTCTCAGAGGTACTCCAGCCTCATGCTCCTGACTTATGTTTCTTGACAGCAATAGGTTGGCCACTTCAGATCTCCCAGAATCCTACATGATGCTTTGAATTTCCTGGCATGGGCATTTTTCTTCCTGAATGTTCCAGATTGGACAATCATAGGGAAGCTAGGGGCAGGAGAACAATTCTACCATTATCAAGTGGCATATTGCCTCCCATCCACAAAATAAAACCTTCCAGGAAACATAAGCCCTGGGAGGCCAGAAGTGGTTTTCACTGTTTTTGTCTTTGCAACCTCCGTGATAAGTTCAGGGTCTGGGGGTTTTCAACAAATGTTTGTTGAATCAAATTGAGGCCTGGAATATGCTTAGTACACCTGAGTTGGGGCTATCAAGCGATGCCAGGAACCACAGGCCAAGGCAGGGTAAGGGGTTGGAGGTGCATTTGTCTGGGAGTCATTAAATCTCTGCAGGAATTTTTTCCTGAGTTAATACCTCCATTGAAGGCATTATAAAATCCCATCAGCCTTTCAGATAGGGTCCAAGGCCTGGAAATGTAGGGCCAAAAGAAGAATGTCCCACCAGGAGTACAGGAGGACTCAATCTCCACCCTGGTTGGTATTGAAGGGACTATTCAGACACCAAGTGAAGCTTGGAAAAGGGCCACCCAGGAGCCAGCCTAACCCCTAGACCCAACTCCTCCAGCCGCAGCCTCCAAGGCCTACTGTAGACATTGAGATTGCTGTAGAGGCCCACAGGGCAGTCGGTGACAAAATGCCTTGGCTGGTAGCTGGCCTGGGGAGACTGAGGTGCCCAAGGAACATAATTCCTTCCATTCTGGAAGGAATGGACCCTGGGAAGTGGGGGGTTTGGAGTGGAGGGGCTACTTGGCCCTGAAGACACAGTGTGAGACTGGTGATGGGGATTACTGCTGGTAGATGGGTTGCTGAAGGGGTCAGAGGTTGTGTGGTCACTAGATGGACAGCTGCTGTCAGTGAAGCTGTCCTGAGGGAGCTTGGACCCTCCACTCGGCTGGAGGGGCCTGACCAGCCCGGGAGATCGCTGGCCCATCACAGGTTTAGAGGAAGAGTACAGGTGGCGGAACTCCTCCTCAAACAGCTCCACAGCCTGGCCTGTAAACTTGGAGAGGAAGTTTCTGTGGACTTGGCCACAGAGCCACGAGAAACTAGAAGGTAAGAGAGAGAGAGAGCGCAAAAAGAGCAAGTGAGGTGATGTGGGAGTGGGAGAGAGAGGCAGCTCTAAATCGGCAAACTCTGCTGGGTTTTAGAACTAAACTCACAGACTGGCAAGAAGGAAGCCTGGCTCGGGTGTTCTCAGTCACCCCTTTTATAAAGTGCCCCTTCCATTTCTGGTGGTTCAGTCCCACCGTACACAAGAACTGGTGGCCTCTGAAAATAGTTTTCAGCTGTTGCAGTTAACAGTATCAGAGAAAATCACTTTGGCCCTTTCTTCTCTGGCTTCCTGGTCCTCAGCCCAAGACAGTAACTGTATTTGATGTCTCTTGAACACAGTGGGAAGAGTCTAGTGGGACTCTAGACCCAGCCTTGTCACCCCCTGGATGACCTACTTGACATTTTTGCCCCTCTGATCAGCTGTAAAATACCAGTCCTATTTGCCCTCCCCCTTTTGCCTTATCACCTGGCAGGGGCAGTACCAGGTGACAAAAGAGACGATATGAAAGTGCTTAAAGTATGGGGGAGAGGGGAAGAAAGTGTGTCCAGAATGCAGTTATTCCTTCTTCCGGGGAGGTTGTCAAATGTCTGTGGAAGAAAGGTTCTTGATCTCCAAAGTGAGGAGGGTGATAGCATCCCTAGACTTGCTGGGAAGAAAAGGAAAGATCCCACTCAGAAGTTAGCTTGTTTGTGCTTATGTTTAAAAAGGGAACAGTTTCACATCTTCCCATTTAAATGCTGCAGATTTCTATGGTGGTATTTTTTAAAAGGCTCTACTTAAATCCAGACAGAGGTTACTAAATGCCTCACTCAAGAGTACTTTTTTATGACTTCCTATTATCTGAGAGCTCTTCAACTCAACCTGTAGGGGCCAGCAAAAATGACTCCTTCCTTCCTTCCCTTCTTCTTTCCTTTTTTCCTTCTACCTTCCTTCACTCCTTTCCTTCCTCTTCCTTCCTTCTTTTTCTCCCTCCCTTTCTCTCTTCCTCCCTTCTTTCTTCCTTCCCTTTTTTCTCTCTTCCTACTTTCCTTTCGCCCAACCTGCTTGCTAGGAGAAGATGGATATGAACCCTAAAAAACCTTTAAAAGGTCAAGTGAATTAAACTTACATTATCACTATTACCAGACTTCTACCCTCACTATTACCACAGTTTTGAGTCACTCTGTTTTCCTGTTCTGTCAGGTAAGATCAAGAGAAAGGGGCAGTGCAGCGCTGATCCCTAGGCTGAAGCTATTATTGTGATGACGTTGTAGATAAGGCATTAGGCTTGGAGTCAGGAAGAACCAAGTTCAGATCCTGCCTTACAACCTAGGCAAATCACCTGTCCTGTCTTAGGCAGAATTTCTGCATGATAATACCACCTATCTCATAGGGCTACTATGAAATCAAATGAGATACGCAAAGTGCTTTGCAAACCTTAAACCACTCTATAAATGTTAACTATTACTATTTAGCATCTCCCTAGAAATCCACAGAACATACTTCAGAGGGTGATTGGGGGCTAGTTATTTCCTAACGGCATAGTGATGGTACACTGTAGAGATCATTCTGGAGTCAGAGCACCTACATTTGCTTCCTGCTTATGATCTTTACCACTGACTATGGACAAGTCATTTGAGCCTCAGTTTCTTCATGTGTAAAGTGAGAGGGTTGGAATGGCTGAACAAATTATGGTATAAGAACGTAATGGAATAGTATTGTGCCATAAAAAATTACAAAAGAGACTATTTCAAAGAAACCTGGAAAGGCTTGTATGAGCACAAGGGCAAAGTGAGCAGAACCAGAACAGTTTGTATGACTATAATAAACTGTGAAAGGTTTCAGAACTCTGATCAAGGCAATGGCCAGTTAGGACCTGAGGATGTAGGGTGACTGATGTAGCATGTTTCCCAGCTAGAAGATAAGACACAGTTTCAGATACAGCCAATGTGTCCGTTTGCTTTACCTAGCCATATTTGTCACGATCTTCTATTTGGGTGGCAGGGTTTTGTGGGCAATGATAGAGATGGCCCCTGTCCTCCCTCAAAAAAAAGAAGAAAATCAAGAGCATGAATAAAACTTCAAGAAAAATACCCAGAAAAGAACAGAATAAAGTTCAGAAGGGGACCAAGACAAGCAGGGCAGTTTGGTTGCTATTGTGTTAAATTTAAAATGTACCAAAAAGAAGCGAGAGGTCGTGGTAACTGACCTTTAATGTCCCTTTCAGCTCTAAATCTATGAAAAGGAATATAAATACACAATAACAGCCACATTGTGCGATGACTAATATTGATAAATTTAACCCTTCCCAGTAATACAAGGATCTAAGACATCTCCAAAGGCCTTGTAATGGAAAATGCTATCCACACCCAAAGAAAGAACTATGGAATTCGAATGCAGATCGAAGCATACTATTTGCTATTTTTTTTCTCTTCTTTTGAGTTTTGTTTCCTCTTTCTGGTGGTTCCTCCTATTGGTTCTAATTTTTACTTACAACATCACTAATGTGTAAATATGTTTAATAAGAATGTATATGTATAGCCTATATCAGATTGTGTGCCGTCTTGGGGAGGGTGGTGGGGAGAAAGGGGGAGAAAAATTTTAAACTCAAAAGCATATGGAAGTGATTGTTGATAAATCAAAATAAATTAATAAAAAAAATTTTAAAAAAGAAAAGAAAAGGAATATGAAGAAGGTTATATGGTAGAAGGTTTAAAAAAACAAAACAAAACACAACAACACTAGAATTCTAATATTTTTTCCTGTATTTTAAATTTAGTCTTCCCAGGCCATTTGAAACATTCAATTCTTGATCCACACTCCGCTATTGAACTAGGTGTGTCTAAAAGCCTGCCAGAGGAGATTGGGTTATTCCATGGCTTTATTCCATTTAACAAGTCAAGACAGATGCCTTTGTTGACTGATCTGGCAAACCTTCTCAAGTGTGTGTATAATGAAGGGGGTTTCCCATGCCCTCAGGACTTAGGAGAGAGAACATCTTAAATATTCTTCCTCTTTAAAAATTGAGGAAGCACCATAGCCTAGACAGCTAGTATCTTGCCAAAACAATATGCAAGGTATTGTCCTGGGTGCTAGGGATACAAAGATTGAAAATGACATACTCTCTGACCTCAAGGAGCTTATATTCTACAGGGAAGATTATGGCGTCTCCACAGTTCATTTGAAGTTAACTCTGAGACCTTTTAAGAGAACTTGAAGGTGGATAGGGGTCATCCCCAGTCCTTGAGGTCAGCTCCCACATGGTTTGGAAAGGAAGCATCCTTTGCTGTCGCTGTCAGAAAAAGACTACTGGGTGGGCCATCTGTGATATTATTTATGTTCTTAGGTACTTCAGGAGTTTACTGAAAGAAAGTTTACTTAATCATGATCATAAAAATAAAATTTCAAATGGCTTTCGTCCCACTTCCAAACCCCTATCCATGTATCTTCACCCCTCCTTAGGCAAAGACGCCTTCATCCTCATTCCCGTGTCTAGCTAAAAAAGGCATTCTTGCCAAGATCTTGGAGTCCAGTCTTATATCTGCAAATTTCTGGGTTCCTGTATGTAAGGTGGGTGTACTAAGTCAAAGCTAAGCATTTTAATTGTTGTGGGGGGGGAATGGAAAAGGAGAGCAGAGAATGGGATTGACTTGCCTTGCTAAATGATTGTATCTGTGATTTTTATTTTAAGTAAGTGCTTCATTTTAAGGATTTATCATAATGATTGCTAGCATTTAAATGTTGTTTTAAGATTTGCAAAAGACTTCACAAATATCTCATTTTATTTTCCAAAAAACCCTGGGAGGCAGGTGCTATTCTTATCCCCATTTTATAGATGAAGAAATTGAGACAAACAGATTAAGTGACTTGTCAAGGGTTATACTTGAACTTGGGTCTTCCTGATTCTAAATCTTCTATCCACTTCACCATCTGCTGCTAATAACAATAATAAGAGGTGGCATTTATAGATCACTTAAAGGAACTTTACACATATGACCTCATTTGATCTTCACAACAAATCTCTAGGTGCTCTTATTATTCCCATTTTACAGATAAGAAAAGAGGCACAGAGAGAGAGTGCCTTGGCCAGGGTCACACTGCTGATCAGTAACGAGTAGGATTTGAACTGAGGTCTTCTCAACTCCCAAGTCTTTCCACTAGCTGCTGACTCTCTTTAGATGTTTCAAGGATGCAACAGACTTTGTGAGGATCATCCTAAAGCTAAAGACAGGGAAGCTTGTGTTGGTGAAGGATTATTTGGCCATGGCCAGAAATCTCTTGAAATAGTAGTGGTTTATGAACCTAAAATAAAATTGCTACTGGAACAACTCTGGTTCCCCTTAATGAGTAAAGCCAGTGAGCCATTGTGTAGCTAATAATGGTTATTAGCTAAACTCATTGTCTTATTCCAATTAGCTATTGCTATGATTGCTGTTAAGGATTATAACAATGGCACCCATTACCGTGATGATAATCAACAGCCTAACTAAATCAAACATGCTCCTTGTTTTCAAATATGGACTCAGGACTTACTCTTCTAAAGATGGTGCCACTGGGTTTTCCATTGTGAATTTCAAAGCAAATCAACAAAGACAAAGACTCCTACAACTGTTCTCTTTGAAACAAAGGTCATTTGAGGGCTCAAAGGAAAAGGCTGACCCATTGTCCTTGTGGGGAGGGAGGGAACTAAACAATTTGATGAGTTTGATGTAAAGGGAGTCCATCAAGATTCACCTTCCCTGAAGAAGCACCTCAGGCCTAAGCTGTTGTTCATCCTTCATTTTTTGAATAAGACCAATGACATCATAAGGTGATGTCTTGACTTGAGAGTGAATTGGATTTAAGTGAGGCAGGGTTGCACAAAGTGGTCAGCTTCACGCTCTCTTCCAGTCATCGAAGTCCAGTGACAAGACAAAAGTCAGGACGACTGGTGATGGCCCAGGGTGCAGTGATTTTGATGTCTTCGGTGTCTGATGAAGCTCTTAGCACTCCACAGTGCCTCCCTCAGCTGCCTTCCTGACCATTGGGACAAATTGTTCTCATCTGCCCATTCTGCCTGGGGAAATCTTCACATGTTCAGGCTGGACATCCCCCCTAACTCACCCACAGGTTTGAGGCCGGTTGGTTACCCTGAAAGGTGGGAGGATGTAAGGGAGGGGGCAGAAATCAGCCTAAAATGTGTTTCCACTTGAGTGGAGCCCACATAGAGCAAAGTCTTTTAAAGATTCCGAGCTGTGTGAGGAGCAGATCTGGCAGACCCCTGCGCATCCCAGAGTGGACCCAACTTGAATTTCCATGAAACAATCCCTTGGCCCTAAGTCTTTTATAAACATCTCTGGGTGGGAGGGAAAGAGAGGGAGCCCACAGACAATAAAGACAAGGAGAATCATAAATCCATATGAAACTGGGGCTGCAGCTGGGCTCAGCTTGGCTCCCTGCTGCTGAAGTCACCTCGGGATCGCTGCCCTTCATTATGCTTGATGATAGTGGGAACTTGTTAGCCTTTTACCTCCACATCATTTCATTAGTGCATTTCCAAATCTTAGTGTTCCCAGGCCTCGGGGAAACCTCTCGCCCTGTCTTGGGGGCCTGGGTTTGGGAATTTGTATTTCTTTCCATTGGGATCACTTCACCCTAGACTTTCATGCGACAGACCTTAGATTGTCTCAGGAACTTGCCAAAGTGGCTTGAAAGCATTTGCCTAATTGCTAACTTTGAGGCAAAGCTCTGGCATTAAGAAATATTGGGCAGGGAAAGAATAATTTTTAAAAAGAATTCAGCAACTTTGGTCTAGTGAAGGGTAAAGCATTCTAGATTTGATCCCCATGTCCTGTTTTTGGGATGTAAGAATTCCTGAGGAGGGGAGCAGGAGAGGAGAGAGGAAAAGGATCATTTGATTGTTTATTTCTTTCCTGAGTCACAATAAATGTCAAATTTTTCCAGCTGGACCCAGACTCCCTCTCTCCTCTCCAGCCAAGAGGGAAGCTTGGAGTCCCAAGAGGAAAACATTTGTATAGAAATAAGGCTTTGGAAAGAGTTTGTACTGAAAGAAAAATTTTCTTTGTCCTATGTTTCTTTCTGCTTTTAAGCTTACTTCAAAATTAGCTATTTGGAGCTTGCCTGGGTTCAATCTCACAACCTCAAGGGACAGGCCCATTCCCTTCAATCTTACTTAGAAATATGGGCCCAGGAAATGCTTGAATCAAGTTTGAGCTGAGTGCAAATCTTCCAGTTTGCAGGCTTCCACCTGGAGCTGCCACCTTTTAAGGTGGTACTTCATTCTCTTGTTCTTGATCTCCCACTAAATGAACAAAAGGCAGAAAAAGGCAGACAGACCACCACCCGAGGGCCCTTTGGCTCTTAGAGCCCTTCCCAAACTGCACTTGGGATGAGTGAAGTGCCTATAAATTAGAAACATGTGGATTCCATTTCCCCTTAAAATACACTTAAAAACACAGGGATGATGAAAATAAAGGGAAAATAAACCCAGGGCAAAATGACTTTTCAATCTCAATGAAGCCAAAATGCTTGAAATGGCAAAATGGGTCCCCTCTGGTCACTGAGCAGTAAGGACTCTGGCCCAGGCTCACAAGTAGCAGCTTCAAACCAAAGAATTCCAGGCCCGTTAGAACCAGCCAACAGAATTTCAAATTCCAATTCCAACTGTTAGTTTGAGCTGCACATGGCAGTTGGAATAGTTGAGTCTCTGTGGGAAGGGAGGTGGGGGAGTCCTGAGCAGAAGCTGTTCATTACTTCGTCTCCCATGTTTCTTGATATCTCCTCTTCACCTTTCAACATTTTCTGTGATGTTTCTTTAATCCAGGGCTGGCCTTGAGCAAAATGGTGGCCTTATGTAGCTAGGTGGCACTGGAGCTAGAGCTGACCTGGAGTCATGAAGACCTGAGTTCAGATGTAACCCCAGGTACTACTAGAAGTACTAGCAGTGTGACCCTTAGGCAAGTCACTTAACCTCTGTCTCAGTTCCCTCATCTGCAAAATGGGGATGATAATAGCACTTTTCTCCCAGGGTTGTGTAGGGCAGTTAGGTGGTACAGTGGATAGAGTGTTGGACCCGTAGTCAGGAAGAGTAATCTCCCTGAGTTCAAATCTGGCCTCGGACACTTACTAGCTGTATGACCCTAGGCAAGTCATTTCACCTTATTTGCCTCAATTTCCTCATCTGTAAAATGAGCTGGAGAAGGAAATGTCAAATGTCAAACCACTGCAGTATCTTTGCCAAGAAAACTCCAAATGGAGTCACAAAGAATCAGACCCAACTGAAACGGCTGAACAATAATAAGCACCTTCCACACTTACAAGTCCCACCACCCAGTTTAGTACTTATACACTGTCTCATATCATTTGCATGTGTTTCATTTGTGAATGATTTATTTCTCCAGCCAGATTGTAGCCTGGGAGGGTGGAGTCTGTATTTTATAGAAGCCCAACATAGACCTGGACCTACAGAAGGGGCCCAGGAAATACTAGTTGACTGACTCTTCTGACTGGGTTTATGTGTGTGTGTTTTTTTAACATGGGATGTGGTGTATTTCGAGTCTTCTTTATGCAAAACACATGAAAAAGATTGTCATTTGATTTGTAATGACAGCCACTACTTGTAGTGACCCTGTTTGCAATGTTGTCTCCTTGTCTCCCTGGCAGATTTAGGGACCTGGCAGCCTACCTGACCTGAGCTGCGATGCCCTGAGGGTTATTTGGGGCCCTCCTCCCACCTTCTTGAGGAGTCACTTGATCCTACTGGTGTCAGTCTTCTGTATGGGTCCATCTTGGAGAAACTGAGCACTGGCATCTGCCATAATGCCTGATATGTCTGTCCCAGGACCTTCTTATCAATGATAAGTATATCAATTGACAAGTAGTTTACAAGTGGGGAAAATGGAACATCTTTAGTTGATCCAAGCCAAGCTGATGCAGGGCTGGAGGTCTCAAAGTTGGGTTTTTGTTCCCTCCCTTTTTTTTTTTTTTTTGGTGAGGCAATTGGGGTTAAGTGACTTGCCCAGGGTCACACAGCTAGTAAGTGTTATATGTCTGAGGCCGGATTTGAACTCAGGTCCTCCTGAATCCAGAACAGTTGCTTTATCAAACACTGTGCCATCTAGCAGCCCCTCAGCTGCTGCTCCTTCTCCTTTTCAGGATCCTCCTCCTTTCCTGTCTAACCCTGACCACAATGATTGTCCATTCACTAAAATTCTAGCCTGTATCTCACAATCTGATGCCTGATTACTTTATTTCTTTGCAATATTTTTCTTTCTAGTTATGTCCTGTATGTGCCATGGGTCACTAGATAGTAAGCTCCTTGAGGGCAAGGACTAGGTCTTATGGTTGTTGGTTTGGTTTTTTTAAATTTCCATGAGACTGGGCATACTGTGAGTGCTTAATATATATTTCACTTTGGGTAAGTTGGTCACAATAATGGACAGTTGCCCCTAAGAAGTGGCCATGACTCAGAATTATTTTGTTTCTTTTCCTCAAAGCATGAAACGAGAGAGAATATAGGAGGAAGGGGTAGCCAACAGAATCAAATACTACAGGGAGATCAGAATGGATAAGGACTAAGCAAAGGACATTGGAGACCTTGGATGGAGCTATTTCAGTTGAATGGTGGGATTGAAAGCCTGATATTACAAGAATTTGCTAGAAAAGAGTAGGAAGTAAGGCAGTTGTCCCAAAGACTATAGAAAGCTTTTTCTAGGAGTTTGACTATGAAAGGGAAGAGAGAGTTAAAACAATAGTTTGAGGAGAACCAAGTGAAGGGGAAAATCTGTGCTGTCTGCTGTGTAGACAGTAAGGAAAGAGTCAATAAATAAGGAGATTTTTGAAAACTAGGGGGAGAGAGGAAGTGATTAAAGGGGTATGTTCCCACCCTAGTTCAGGCCCTCATCTTCCACTCACCTGGACTACTGCAATAGTCCCCTAACTGTACTTTCATCCAGCCTCCACAAAGCTACTAAACGGATATTGTTAAAGCACAGGTCTGATCATGACACTCCCCGGCTCTAGAAGCTGCAATGGCTTCCTATCATGCCTAGGATCAAATACAAACTCTTCAGTGTGGCATTTAAAGTCCTTTACAACCTGGTTCTAGGTCAGCTTTTCCGACTGATTTTACCTCACTCCCCCTTGGCTTCTGCCTCTGGATCTCACTGGCTCAATGCGTGGATGGGCTTAACACTGGCTCACCCCCCAACAGAAGGTGAGGATGCTCGGGGATAGGTCTCACCTGTATGATCCAGTGAGGACATATCTCCAATCAGAGATGATGAACTTTTCCTGGATTTGGCCCGAGAACTTCTTGCCAGACTTGGCACAGTAGGTTTCTCCTTCCACGCTTCGGACTGAAATGTTCTGTTAGAGGAATTTGGGGATATAATTGAAAGATCCCTTTGTTCTCATGGAAATCTCAATCTTAAAGCAACCAAATGATGTAGTGGAAATAACACCAGATGTGAAATTGGAGGGGATGGGTCTGAATACAAGCTCTCCTTTTTCCTGCCTATTTGAGTTTGGGCAAATAGCTTCACTTCCTGGGGCCTCAGTTTCCTTTAGTGCTCAGTTTTGGCCATGACATCTTATAAAGAACATTAATCATCTGGAGAATGGCCAGAGAACAGCCAGGAAGGGCTTCAAGTTCATGCTAGGTAAGGATTAAATGAAGGAATTGGGGATATTTAGCCTGGAGAAGAAGCTTCAGGATAAATTTTAGCCCAAGTAGACTTGGGGGGGAACATGATAGCTATTATCTTCAAGAATTTAAAGCCTGTCTTACAGGCAAAGGAATTAAATTTGTACTGATTGGCCCCCGAGGACAGAAGTAGGAACAATGGATAGGATGAGATTTAGGCTTGATGTCAGAGCTATCCAAAGAAGCAATGGGCTGCCTCCTAAGGTAGTGAGTTCATGGTCCCTGGAGGTCTTCATGCAAAAGCTGGATGATTGCTTGTTGGAGAGGATGTAGAGGGTGGTGCCTTCCAATTTGGAGGTTCTGTGACTTTCTGAGGAGGTTGGACTAGATGTTCTCAAAAATCCCTTCCAGTTTTAATAAAAATCCAAATTTTAAATGAACAAACATGAGTGAACTTAAAGGGCATTAGAGATCACATAATTGAAGCAGCTAGCCAAGCGGTATAGTGAATGGAACACTAGACCTGGAGTCAGCATAGACCTAAGTTCAAATCCTGCTTCAGATGCTTATTAGCTGTATTATCCTGGGCAGATTACTTATAACCTGCCTGCCTCAGTTTTTTCATCTTACAATGGGAATAATAATAGCCACCTACCTCCCAAGCATGTACTGAGGATCAAATGAGATAATATTTGAGAAGTGCTTTGCAAACCTTAAAGTACTTAGAAATGCTACCTGTTTATTACTGTGACTAGTCTGGGTCCAGTGTTAGCATTGAAAAGGAGGTCTGTGACTCGAACCTATGAACCACACTGGTCCTTGGATATAAGATAGGACTATGCTTTAGCTGTGCCCCAGGAAGAATTTGGAAAAAACAAAATGCAGACAACTTCACGTCCTGAGAGTGACCACTGTCCAGCTCTAATCAGCTGCTCTTTCCTGGCATTGTCCCTGAAACACTAGAAAGGAAGTAACTTCCAAAAACTAATGGCTTGACCTTGGGCAAGTCACTTCATGGCTTTAGGCCTCAATTTCCTCATTTGTAAAGTGGACTTAATTATTGATAAAGCCCCTGCCAGGTGGTTTTTTTTTTCTTCCTGTAATCCTTCTATAAAATTTCCTTGTCAAGGAAACTTAATGTAATGTAAAGGAGACCTCAGTTTATGTCCCGAGTTCTTCCAGACATAACATTGTATGGTTTCTTTAATGTCCTCGATGGCTTCTAAAAAACTGGTATTAGGCCAAGATTTGGGGGTATAGGGAAGAGAAATTTTGGGGAAATGGTTCCAAGTCTATCGAATGTATGCTGGGTAATGGGGATCGTGATTCCTTGTGCGAAGTAATACCTTTATAAATGCTTGGTGAACGAACAAATGAATGGATGGGTGGATGGTTTGTTGAATGACCTTTTACTGTATCAAGACGATGAGTATACCAGAACTCACTTGGCCTGTGAAGTCACCAAGACATTTTACCAAGCACGTGGAGAAGAGGGGTAGGTTACCCACCTTTTGAGGACTCCTCTAAATATTCAACAAATATTTCGGTAACATTCATTGATGGCATTTGGCCATTCATTCAAGAAACATTTGTTGAGCACCTACTATGTGCTGTGTATCAGGCTATTTCTACCAAGAATGTAAATTTAAATTTGGGGCCCCCAAGAAAAAATGAAAGAGGGTCCCTTACTGACTGTTGGTTGCAAAAATAAATCTTCAACAGGGTCTTATTCAGGGAAGAGTCTTCAATGCAGGACTATCTGGATGGTTGCTACACATCTTGTTCTTTCTTTGTTTTTTTTTTTTTGAACCCGTGTGTGGCCCTGGAATCCTCCCTTTCAGGGGACAGAGGATTGAAGGCTCAGAGCCAACAAACCTCCTTTGAGGCCACTCCTACCTTCAGGTGACTGTCCAGGATTTCAGCCTTGTCACACATCTCCCGGAAGAGCTTCACACCACACTGATCGAGGAGCACGCAGACAAACACACCCCGCTTGTTAGCAGCCTCCAGCACGTCACAGAAGATCTCCGTATCCGTGAATACATCCATCAGGATGACCAGGACCTGGGCCAGGGCAGACAAGACCACTCACTAGAGGACCCAGAGCAGGACGTTTGTCTTACTACACTTCCAAGCTGGTTCTGGTTTCAATCAAGCTTGTTGGGCTTGGGGTAGGCCTGGTCAAGCTGGGGTCCCAAGGCAGGGAGGACAGAAGAGACTCCTCCCCCCAACAGCAGCATTCAACTTAATTTAATGCAACAGCCGTTTATTAAGCAGCTCTTATTGTGCAAACTCCTGCATTACAGACTGGGACTTCAAAGATGAAAAAGAAAAAGAAAAAACAGCCACACCCAAGCTTACAATACCTGGGGGACAGATGAGGTTATAGGATCATAAATTTAGAACTAGGAGGAATCTTGGAAGTCATTTCATCCAACTCCCTTTCATTTTACAGATGACCAAAGTACAATGAAGTGGCAGAAAGTAAAGGAAAGAAGGAAGGAGGGAGGGAGGAAGAAAGGGAAGGATAGAGGGAGGAGATAGAGAAGGAGGAAGGGAGGAAGGGAAGAAGGGAAAGAGAAAGAGAGGGTCTTTCAAGAGAATACTGGATGAAAAAAGTGGCTTTCTCTTGGAAAAATAGTAGGGCCTTCTAAACTAAGCTAGGATTTGCTCAGAGACCAGGCTGGAATTATGGCTATAGCCACAAGAGCAAACACAAGTGTCTGAGTCAATCAGGAACTGTAGAGACCTGTTAGAATCATGGCAAACAGATGGAGTGTCCCGGAAAATGGGACCATGCAACCACCACCTGCCCTGGGGCCTATCCAGGTTATTGGGATTTCCCTCCAATGTTGCCACATAACTATAATTTAAGGTAGATTTCAAGGTGAGAAATAATCACCTAATAATAGTTCACATTTGTAGGGCATCCCTTTACCTCCCCTGACCATTCCTCTTCCCCACTCACACCCACGTTCCTGACCTGGACATAGGCCTCACACTTCCTGGCTTTTCTCTTGTGTTGGCAGTTAGAGGAGTTAGACCCCTGCGGGCCTGGGTTATGGTATGTCTCAAGGAGCCCAGGGCCAAAATGGTCCTAAATTGATCCTAGGATGTTCTGCTGGAACTGGGCAGGATCTGTTTAGGTCTGTGCAAAAATATGTTCTGAGCCCAAACCCCATTGGCCCACAGAGAGAGCTGGGAACACAAAGGGGTTATATGAATCCTCATCTCCTTTGCCTTTGGCTTGTGGTCAGATGACACAGAGAAGGAACAGCCCAGGCTTGGTTATTGGACATTTAGAATCCTAGGCCACTGGAGACTCCTTAGGTCTCTCCCTTCCTGGGCCTAACCCTTTTCTAAGGGGTTTGTGCCGTAAATTTGGAGAGTTGGTGGTGGTACAGTGAATGGAATGCTGGACTTGCAGTCAAGAAGATTTGGGTTCTAATTCTGCCTCAGATACCTAGTAGCAGTGTGACTGGGGAAGTCCCTTAGCCTCTCTGGGCCTCCGTTTATCCATCTGTAAAATGAAGAAGCTAGACTAGAGATTCCTTCCAGTTCCAAATCTATAGGACTCCTCTTGATGCAGAGAGGAAGCTGCAAGCCTATAAAGGCCAAGACAGAAACAGAAGCCTTAGATGAAGGAAGGCATAGTCAGACGTAGAAGAGAGAGCACAAAAACGGGAGTCAGAAGCCTTGGCTACTGGTCTTAACTCTGCCAGGAACTGGCTAGGTGGCTGTAGGCCCGTCACTTCAGGTCTCTGGGCCTAGAGTGAGGGAGGCCCTTGGGGACCTCAAATGGTCTCGTGAGAGGCCCCCACGTTGAATGAGTCCCTGATTTAGCCATAACATAGCTTCTCTCCTCACCTTGCTCTTTCCCGTGTGCTGTAAAATTTATCAAAATTTATTTAAATCGTATTTGTTCAAATACATGATTGCATGATTCTCACACAATCCTGGGAGGTGGAGCAGTTATTATCATTATTATTTCCAAAATTGAAGCCTAGAGAAGCTAAGTCACCTGCCTAAGGTCACATAATGGGTAAATAAATGACCATCAGGACTTGAACCCACATCTTCTGACTACAAGTGCATTGCTTTTCCCGTGACAACCCACTGCCTCTCTGTCCCGGGAGAAGAGGCTCTTCAGAACCAGTCCATCAGTCAGTAAGCACTTACTAAGCCCCTACTGTGTGTCAGACACTGTGCTAAGGCTAGGGGTATAAAAAGAAGCAAAAGATAGTCCCTGCCCTGAAGGAGCTTACAACTTAATGGAGGAGACTACCTGTAGACACACACACACACACACACACACACACACACACACACACACACACACACACACA